AGAGGGGGGCCTGCGTGAACCATATAAAGTTCAGCAAGGCCAAGTGCAAGGTCCTGCACGTGGGTCAGGGCAATCCCAAACACAAGTACTGGCTGGGTGGAGAGTGGCTCGAGAGCAGCCCTGAGGAGAAGGACTTGGGGATGATGGTGGATGAGAAGCTCAACATGAGCCGTCAATGTGCGCTTGAAGCCCAGAAAGCCAACTGTGTCCTGGGCTGCATCGAGAGAAGCATGGCCAGCAGGTCAAGGGAGGTGATTCTGTCCCTTCACTCTGCTCCCATGAGACCCCACCTGGAGTACTGTGTCCAGCTCTGGAGCCCCCAACATAGGAAGGACATGGATGTGTTTGAGTGGGTCCAGAGTAGGGCCACGAAGATGATTCAAGGGCTGGAGTACCTCTGCTATGAGGACAGGCTGAGGGAGTTGGGGCCGTTCAGCCTGGAGAAGAGAAGGCTTCAGTTCCTGAAGGGGCCTACAGGAAGGATGGAGAGGGACTTTTCACAAGAGTGTGTAGTGATAGGACAAGGGGGAACGGCTTTAAACTGAAAGAGGGCAGATTTAGGTTAGGTATTAGGAAGAAATTCTTCACCATGAGGGTGGTGAGGCGCTGGCACAGGTTGCCCAGAGAAACTGTGGATGCCTCCTCCCTGGAAGTGTTCAAGGCCAGGTTGGATGGAGCTCTGAGCAACCTGGTCTGGTGGAAGATGTCCCTTGCTCATGGCAGGGAAGTTGGAACCGGATGATCTTTAAGGTCCCTTCCAACCCTTACCGTTCTATGATTCTATAATTTTTGAAAATATAAAAGGCTTTATAAGGTGAAAGTCTGTATATGTGAGGCCATTTTCTTGCAAATGTATGTATCGGGGAACATGAGATATAATGAAGAGAAAATCCCAAACGACTTTAAAAATTGAACACTTCTGTCTTTAATGTCTCTAGTTATTAGTGTCCACTTTAGATGACAAAATTTCTTCCTGCCTATGACTTAGATTCTGAATTCATACTTAGTTTGTATGGAGAGACTCTGGGAAATAGAAAGCAGTCTAACATTTTATCTCTACCGTAATCTGTGTGCAGTTAAGTGCCGGTGAGGTGTGTTTGTTGTGTTTGCTTGCTTTTAGGTGTTCTTAATTTTCAGTTGTAATCAAAGGGACAGATTAGTTTATTCTGGATTTTGTGTAGGAAATTATGGTATTACAACAGGCAATGCCAACAAGGTGCTAGGATTTTGTTTGAGGCCACTCTGAGCTCTGAGTTGCTATGGTTGGAGACAGCATCCGCGGTGCCCAGCTGAGCTGCCTTTGCCTCTGCCTGCGGCTGCAAAGCGCCGGCCGGGCGTCCAGGTAAGGAGAGGGGTCTGGAGACCCGCAGAGAGCAGTCGCCAGGCCATTGCACACCCTGGGTGTTTGGGTAAGCTGACTGAATAGGTGGATTTGTGGGGTTTTTGGTTTGATTCGTGCTTTGTGAGATGTGAGTGAGTGGAGCTGAGGTGTGGTGGAAGATTCGGTGTCTGTAACAGAAGAATAATATACGAATGAGCTCTAGGAATGTCACGGTCATGGGGTCCCTGAGTGAACTGCCAGTGGTAGCAGTTGTTACGAGTCGAGGTAATGTTTTGGAGTATGCAGTGTATGTCTCTACTGATTGGGGTGACTTCCTTCATTTCGTCAGGTGCTTTGAGATATCAAGGATTTGTAAACTATGATCCAACTAAGTAGTTGATGTATAAGTAGTTATAAGAGGATTACTCCATATCTGGTTGCTCAGGCCAAATTAAATGACGCCTTAACAGACACAGAAATAAAACACAGGTAATTTCTTCTGGCTTACAGCAGACTGCTTGCATGTTTTTAGGGAACAGCAAACATTGTGGCAAGTGCTTCTGCTCCTTTGAACTTGTAATGCTTTGATTTGTATGTGCAAAGCTTGATAATTTAACAGAACCTAAGACGAAAACAAATGTGTCAATTGCTCGGGACCAGTCTATATATGTGACAGGAGTAATTGTAATTAAAACTAGACATTTCTTTAATTTTTTTTTTAAATCCTCGACTGCTACTGCCCAACCTTGTGTTATGTGCTGTATGTAGATTGGCCTCCAAAACTTGAATTTTTATTGGCTGACTCTTTTGATGGCTTTCTTAGTAAAAAATTCATTAAGTTTGTCAACATTGTAAAAAGCCTTGTGTAAGTTTTGCTGCAGTTTTGGGCATTTTCTTTCTTCTACCTTACTTAAATTTCAGTATTTCTAAAACTAACGAGTTTCTCAAGATTCACATCAATGAGAACATTTTTTTTCTGCTGTGTTTTTCAGTGATTGGCTGATACACTATTCTCTGTCGTGCAGTTTTTTTTCCATCTCTGTAAATGCTGTACTTGGGTAATGAATGGTAGATGCATGCTCTGTTAATACATCATTCAGACACTATTCCATTTGGAATCACACTGGAATGGAGACATTGATAATTTCCAAGTAAATGAGTGGTAGAAATCAGACAGCTTATTTATTTTTATGCGTTTAGCTTGTCAGCTTTTGTGAGTGTTTGTGTTCTTTCACATTCTTGCTGTCTAACTTTGAATTTCCAGGGATCATCATGTGTCTAGAACCATTTAACTTTACTCATGCTTGTGAAATGTAACCCTGTGGTGGTTTTGGTTGAATTTCAAAATACAAAGTGTAGCACAGTAACAGTCTTGTGAGCGATCCGAGATCACTTCAGGTAGATGGAAGCAAGTTCCATGCTTAATTTTTAACTGTCACTTATGTTAACTATGCGTTTTGAAGTGCAAGAAAAACTGACAGTGTTTAGCTCTATCATTGTGTTTGTTTTTCCAGCTGTTGTAAAGTTTAAAAAAGAAGTATTGGCAGTAGTTATCCTGGTACCTTCATATTAGTAAGGCCACTGTCTAGTAATGAAAACTGTTTTCCTTAAGTTTCCTCAAAACTTGTTCTTGCATGTGGAACATTTATGTGTATATAAATGTATATGTATGTATAAAATCACATTCTTAGCAATTTCCTGATGCAGAGGATAAATAATACCTAGGCTAGGTAGTGCTCTCTAGCTGACTTCATAAGTATGCGTGCTCTCTTGGCGATCTGGTTCATAGTAAACGTGCTCTTGAAACAAAAATCTTGGTGCTAAAATAAACTGTCTTTTCTGTCTTACCTAGATAAACAGTGATAATTTTTATACCTTTGGGCACTTCCCTGGTGTAGAAAGCCTTCTCTTCCGTGACTGCCTTTCTTGAGGCTCCTTTCTGGAGGAGCATGTAGATTCTTTTTAGAGTAGAAGTTCATAGCGTTTTGCTTACACTGATAAATGTGAGCAGTGGTTGAGTTATCATAGTTTTTTTAATACTTCAGGTGAAAATTTATTCACCTGGAGCAGAAATGCAGTTTTAGTATTGTTTGTAAGTGTGTGAAACTGCTTGGGAGAAATCTCTTGTAGCCTATTTTTCCTAACCGCAGGTAATGCCTGTTTATTTTTATTAGTTAGTGGATAACTAGGTGTAACCTTTTTTTACTGTGTGTGTTACTAACCTGAGAGACTGCAAACTTAGAATTTGAATCTATTATGTCAGAGCATGAGCATGGTTTGTATGATACAGTTTCAGAGGTCTAGTACACCTATCTGTTGTTCTCTAGTAGTTTTCTAATATTAGTAGAAGTCAGTTTTTAGATCTATGGCTCTCTAAATCTATTCTTCATATTTTCCGGAAATAAAATTCAACTTCCTTGACTATCTGGAAATTTTTTTCTTTTCCCCTCCCCTTTGCCCCCAGATATGCGTGATAAAATGAGGAAATGGAGGGAAGAAAACTACCGAAACAGTGAACAGATAGTGGATGTTGGAGAGGAGTTAATTAATGAATATGCATCTAAACTTGGAGATGACAGTAAGTAAACAATCATTATTTTTACAACTTGTATTGTTTGATTTTGTTGTTTCTTTTCAGACTGTATTTTGTACTTCTCGGTTGCCTTTCTGTATCTACGGATGTTGATGAAATATATATTACTTTAATAGGCTGCTGGAATTCCTAGATTTTATTTCTTTCCCAAATATGGGCTGCAGTGAAAACAGATGGAAAAATTGCCTACTTGAACTGTTAGCTTGCTTAATTAGTAGTTAGACCATTATGTAAATACTTAGTGTGAAACTGTTTTCTAGCTGTCACGTGACTGATTTTCTGTTCTCAACGCTGTGGCAAAAGTTGAAAAGTATCTTTTTGTAACAGAGAAAGCTGTTTCTTTATCAGGTTGTACATGCTGCAGGAATTAATAGTAAGGCTGTTTTTATTATAACATTACGTTTGTGATATTATAGTTGAAGGCAACTCTAAGCTTCCACTACTCATGAAATAATTTTCGGGGGATTTTAGCTACCTTATACTAATTTCAGTAGACAGAAGCGTGGATGTAACGTTTTACATTAAAAGAGAATTGCTTAGAAACATGTCACAATAGAACTTTTTACCATAACCATAAAATAAAACAAAGTATAGCAAAGTGCTATCAAGATTGTATAGGTTTGCATATTAATCTCACACAGATTTTTATTTTAGTGCTTATTCTTTCTTCTTTTTCACTTTTTTATGATTCAGGTAATTTAATATAGACAGTCTTTAATACATTTCTCTTGTAGTTCTTTCATTTGATTCACTGCTGTCACATAGTCACAAGTGGATTTTAGCAGCTTCAGTAGTGCATTGTATTCACTAATAAAAGTTACAGTATTCCATATGATTAACTTCGTACAGTTAGTTAACTTGTTCAGTTAGTTTAGTAAGTTAACTGTAATTTCAAATACTGAACTTCTTACAGTGTCCCAGAAATTAAAATCCACATAGTCATTTCAGAAAGACACTTTGCCTTCCTTTCTTGCCAGGTGAGAAGTCTTTTGGTATTGGGTTTGGGGTTCTGCAGGTAGGATTTGTTTTATATTGATGCTTTGCTCTGGTTCTGTCTTGCATCCTCCGAGCTAGAATTCTGTTGTGGAGTTCCTTCCGTTGTAAGGAGCTTGGCCACTGCAAATGTTGTACTTTTTTGGGTGTAAATACATGGATAATCTACCCAAAGTATCATGTATTGAAGACACCTCTGTGGATCGCAGTGAGTCATGAAGTGCGTTTGGAGATTTGGTGCCTGAAGAAGATGCTGCACTGTGAGAGGGTCTTGCACTGTAACTGTGAGGAACATGCTTGTTTGTGGACTGCATGGGCAGGCTTGATGCACCCACCTGCAAGAGAGTTGTCGTAGGTTCCTTCTGCTTCAGAAGAACTTTGAGAACTAACCTTGACTGTACTTTCTTCTTACCATGTTGGTAGTAATTTACGAGAATTGTATTTTGGAAAGAAATTGTTGAGGAGCTTGGTGTTCCTCTCAGATCTTACCGATGCCTTTCTGAAACAGTGTTCTCAGTAATAAAGGCTGTCATTCCTTTATGGTCAGGCTTGAGTTTGTCCTTCTGTTCAAGATGCATGCTTTTTATTCTTTCATGAACCTGAGAATCCAATAGATAAATTAGCTGCATTGTTCCTGAGGTTCTTAGCAAATGCATAAAAGTGTCTGAAATTTATTTTCATATTTGCATTCTGTTTAATATTTTTTTTAAAGTAGCAGCAGAATGGCAGCTGTATACAGTTTTAAAACCAAACAAATAAAAACCAACAACCAAAAAACCCCCAATCATCTATGGCAGGCCTAGAATTCTTTCTTGGGTAGCCATGGAAGGTGAATGAGTGGCATATGACGGATGTTAGTCTTGTTGCTTTGTGTATTTTCAGCAAACGCCTGGATATTACAGTGGCTGATTTCAGAATGAATGTAGAAGGGAAAATAATGAATGCAATAGATTATTTGGGTATCTCTGTAATTTGCTTCCTCAGGCAGAAGACACCCAACATAATTGGGGAAAAAACAAAAGATTTCATTGTTATTAAAGTTTTTAAAATAAAAATAACTCATTTAATGTTCAGTCTAAGGGGCAGAGATACTATTCCCCACATCATGATTTTAATGAGAAGTTGGGCTTTTCTAATGGACAGCCAGTAGTCCAAAGCTATAGATTGGGACTTCAAAGTAGAGGAATAAGACCTTTGGCTTTTTTGTTTTTAAGCTTGAACAAGAAGGGCTTAGTACAGATTAGAAAAACACATACCTCTGAATTGATTATTTTAATCTCTTACAAGTGTTCTTTTGCCTCGTATCTGACACTAACCTGGGCTAAGGTTAGAGTTCAAAATAGAGTAGACCGAAGTTTGATTCAATGGAGAGGGTAATTTCATAAACTGTAAAACTATCTTATTCTTGTGTTTAGATTTTTTTTTTAAACATAATATATAGTTTATATCATGGAAATATGTTATCTGTATTTTGTCTAGCTATGTATGTATTTTTACATGCATGGAAAAAATGTACACGTTTTATTATATAGTCTAGTTTTATTATATAGTCTAGTTTTATTATGTAGTCTAGTTTTATGTCTTACAAATAGTTCTAATGGGGAAGAGGAATTACAGGCAAATTAATGCCCGCTTCTCCTCTTCTGTATACTTAGCAAAAGACAGTATTTTCGTAAAAGAATAGTGGAAATTCATATCATAGAAACTATTTTAAAAATGAGAGGGCCTTTTTAATTTTATGGTTTATTTTTTTTCTGTGTTTTTATCTTGGAAGACATTTGCTTCTGCTTCAGTTCTATGAAATACTGAGTGCACCTGATTGGTTTTACATGAGTTCAGAGCACTCAGTACTTCTAAGACTCGCGTTACATGTTTCCCCTCTACCATAACCTTTCTTTTCTGCAGCTCGTGTAGCTACACTGTTAAGTTCTTTACATTCAAGAACTCGGTAGGCCTAGAACAGAAATAACGTAATCTGTCATTGATTTGTAGAAGTTGTTCAACTCTCGGAAAAAGACAACCTTTGTAGAGCTTTCAGCAATGAAGTAGTTAAGGGAAGTTTGTTTTCTTTCTAGGCCAAAGGACTGTTCACCACGTCTGATTAGAGAGCAAGTCCTAATGGGGATCTGTTTAGAAGGCTGCAGCTATAACTTTAGGAATAGTGGAGAATTAGAGCTTTTTTGCCTTTCAAGATGTCAAAAGGTACTTTGTTACTAAAAGCAGTAAAATTGCTTAAATGCGTTTTTAATTGATTCCAGCAGTTTCTTAAAATGTGCCTGTTTCAGTAGTGATCCACGGGAGTAGAAGGGGAAAAATATACAGACAGAATTCATTAATCTTACTTACATTGTAGGTGTTTCCCATTACCTCAAAAAAATCAATTATCTGCATTTAATGTCTCTTTTGTGTCCAGTTTGGATAATATATGAACAGGTGATGATTGCTGCCCTGGACTGCAGTCGAGATGATTTGGCATTGGTAAGTTTTCAAGCTGAATTTCCCCTCAAACCTTATGTTTTCTTCCTGGGCATCTCTTCCAGATAGTTTTTGGATATTCTGAGCTCCACAGCTTGGACTTGCGGAATATCTAATTGAGAAGTGTACTGCTGGGAAGAAACCTCCACCACCCAGCTTCTCTAATGTGTGACTTTTGTTTAGACAGATCATGTCTCTTCCAATAGCCATGAAAATATTTACAGCTACTCTGGTATGGGCTAGATGTCAAGAATAATATTGAAGTTGCCATATTGTACAGAGAGTGTTTACTGAAAACCTCTCAAATGATATTGTTTTTTTGAATATTTTGAGGTAAAATGTCTTGTCATGAATATCATATTATATGTCATGTCGGCTACCATCAAAGAAAGTTGTTGACATATTGGAGCAAGTCTTCAAGATGAATAAGGAGCTGGACTACATAATGTTTAAGGGAAGACCGAGAGATCATGGTTTGTTAAGTCTTGAGAAAACTAAGAAAGGATTTTATTGCTATCTTTGAATATGTACTAATGGGAAGGTAAAAGGAAAGTGGAGATGGGCTTATGTAGATGTGCAGCGAAAGACACGTGCGAGAGACATAAGCTGCAACAAAGGAAATGCCAATTCAATGTTAGGAAAAAGTTTTTAACAGTAGAGTTAGCGAACAGTTTGGGACAAATGGCACAGAGAAGCTATGGAATCTCCTTTGGAGATGCCCAGAGTGGATAGGGATGTGACCCTGCACTCACTTGGAAGGTGGCTCTGTTTTGAGTGGGGATTTGGAGCAGGTGTCCTCCAAAGGTCCCTTGCAATCGAAATTATTCAGTGATTCTTGATAAGAATATTCTTAATGGGTATGTGGGTTTAGTCAATTTGAATGTGAATTTATTTGAATTACACAAATAACAATTTAGATAAAATGAGTTTATTTAGAACTATAACACCTTTTCACTAGATGACAAATAAAAGAACACCAAAATAAACAAAAAAACCCCAACTAAGCTTTGCTAATCCTTTAAAGCCAGGAACTGCAAAAGGCAAAACTGTTTTGCAGACAAATTTTAGTAATCTTTTCATCCTGCTTTCACAAACCTCTGGGGAAAAAAACCCATTTGCTTGTCTTGTGCCCTGAAAGCCAGCAAGTTTGAGCTTGTTCTAAGTAAAAAGAAAGATATTTTCAGGAGTCCAGGTCTTTCATGGGGATTACTCTTCCAGTGCATTGTTCTCTGTCAGGTGGCAAAATACCTCATAAAGTCTTTGAGCTTCATGTGATGTCATTTGGGTGAAACTTAATGGTCTGTGATATACAAGGGGTCAGACTAGAGGATGTAGTTGGGAGAAGGGCAATGTGAAACTAGGCAGAACTAGACAAGTTTATCTCTCATCCCATATGTGTATGGTAAAATGGAGTACACTGCAAAATAAAGCCCAACACTCTGAACGTGTTGTGAACCCTCTGAACTTTCCTTTCCTTTGTTCCTCAGAAGAAAACACTGTTGTAGTATAGCTGTCTGTTTAAACAAAAACAAATTGACCTACTGTTTAAATAAATATATTTCTGGATTCTGATTTATGTCTAAAACAGTTTTGGTCTTTATTTTCAGGATCTTTTTAGGAAGACTTTCACAGAGTTGTTGAGGGAGCCAGTGTTGAAAGATCTGTTGTGAAACACTTACTTGTTTTTACTAACCCTGGCAGAGATTTTAAGTTTCATTTTCTGTGCCCTCTGAACAATATTGATTGAGATGAGGGAGTGCAACATTTTATATGCAGCTCAGAGAGGAGGTTAAAAGCTTAGAGGGAAACTTAGTTGTTTTTTTATTTTTTTGAATTTGAGTGATTTATAATAAAGAAGTAGTTAATTCAAAGAAGTCAACGTCGTATGTGGCTTTTTGCTACAGCTGCAGCCCCAAAGTAGACAAACAGCTTTGGAACTTTTTAGCAGTGAGCTTTTGACAGCTGTGGTGCATTTTGCTGAAGGGGAATAGGTCTCATCTGCTCCGAATGAGGAGGCTGAGGTGGTTTTCAGTCATTTATCTGACTTTTGTTTTTTCTTTTTCTTTCCTCTTTTTATTACTGTTGTCCCATCTACCCTGCAGAAAATGACCACGCATAGTGGATGCCCCTGCTGCAATCAGCCAGTTGCATGTTTTAGTGTTGTCACCTACTGTTGGCAGGCATTTGCACTACTAGTGTTTTACATGCTGAAGTGCAGGTTTATTTCTTTGCCTTTATCAGACCTTTAAAACCCAATGTGATTAAAAAAATCAGAAAGCAAATTAACTGCAAATTAAAGTTTCACATACAAATGAGATTTGCCATTCTAACTGCTGAGTTTCTGAGAGAATCTCAAAAGTAGATTATTGACATAGTGTAGAGCCAGTCCTCAATAGCATAAATGATTATGGAGATAACAAGTTAAATTTAAAAGGACAGTTTTTGTCCGGAGCAGCAGCAGTTCAGCTAGACATCACTGAAAGTGCCAGTAAAATGTTTCTGTACTAAACCTGAGCTTTGCTATGTGAAATTGCATTGCGAGATCTTGGTTCGTTGGAAACTAAGATGATCATGATGAAAATAGTCTGTGCTTACTTGAGTCTGAGCATTACTTCTTTGATTACTGTTTCCTTTCTCTCTTCCTTCTGTTTTTTTGCATCTGGGAGAGACATGAATATTTCTCTTTGCTGCGCTCTAGCAACTTGTTTATCTACAGAAGCAGAGAGAGAACTTAGGAATTTTTACTGATTTGCTTCTGTATTTTTTTCTTTCGACCGGTGGGTGTGATGAGGTGGAAGAGATTATGAGATAGGCCTCTGCTAGAACGTTAGGTCTGAAGGACAAGTTCATAAGCTGAGCTGTATAAATAAATGCGTGAAAAAGGAGGGTTCTGTGTGAAGCTTTTAATGTGATTCAAACCACTGGTCGTTTTGGGAGCCTGGGGACTGTCCTGCCTCCCACCATAATGAGTTAGCTACAAGCTTTGCAATGCTATCTAGCCACATTCATGATGTGGTTAGAGTTAGTTTACTCTGGGGAAATTGTGACTCAGTCCCTATACCAAACATCCTTTTTCACTAATCCAGAGAAATCTGCCTATGATGAATTCATTTTATCCAGCCCAGGTGTCTCATTGATTTCAGGGGTTAGAAGCTATGCCTATTCTGCCAGCAGGCTCAACCCAAGCTGGTGACAAACATTTTCTTTGGATTTCAGAGTTTTATTTTAAAAATAAACACAGTGCATAGTATTAGCATAGTTTGTTCCACTGTGAGATATCCATTTATTAAAGAAGTATCACATAAGCTCTTGCTGTCTTTGTTTTTTTACTGTCTTGTGTTGTTGAGGCAACTAAGTAGACTTCAAGTTTTAATAGTATCAGAACTGTTTTAGTAGGTGAGTTTGATTTTTCTAGACAAACCACTGTTTCCAAGAAGGCCTGAGTATCTAATGACCTGTATATAAGGTATTTCTTAGAATTAGTCTTCTAACAGACAAAGTTTCAGTTTCTGAGCTAACTGTTATCAATATATTTTATTGCCTATTTCAAGATATGATATTTGCTTTTGCTCAGAAGTGCCATTTCAGGTTGTTGAACGATCACCCAAGGACTTCTCTTTTTTCTTCCAGTTTCTGTGCAGATAATTATATTCACAATAGTATTTTTGGTTTTATTTGTGTAGTTTTGTCTTCAGGAACTGAGGCGGCAGTTTCCTGGGAGCCACAGAGTTAAACGATTAACTGGAATGCGATTTGAAGCTATGGAAAGGTAAAACCTGAATTTAAAAAAGTGTACTTTTTGTCTGGAAAGGTGCTTGCTGTTTCTTAGAAAGGTGTTAAGGCACTATAAGAACATGACAAGGCATTGCTGGGCAGTTTCTTTATAGAAAATAATGGTGTGCATGATCATATTATAAAGTTTAAACATTTTTATTGCATTTTTGCATGTACTGTGCAGTGTTACATTTTTGCAATCTTCCCATCAGACTTCATAGATCAAAAACGTCTCTTACCTGACAGCATAAGTCATTATACAGTAAAACACTGGGCACTTTTTTGGCAGTCTGAGGTATACGTTTCATCTCACAGAGCTATATCAGCATATGAAAATCAGTGTCAGCGATTTTTTGCTTTCATTGTTCTCCGATGCTCCTAATTACTGCAGGATGTAGCTCTTTTCCCTTGTTTTCTGATTGTGGATAAATCCAGTAGAAATTAATAAGGATTGAATCTATAGAGTTTGTTATAGAAACAACTCAAAAAATGTATGAATAGAATGGCAGAACCTAAAAATCAGACTGACCTTTTTGAAATATGCTATAGAAGGGTTATAACATGCCAAGTTTAACAGGAGTTATTAAAATAATGAATAGCTTGAAAGCTTGCAGCTTTCAAGATGAATGAACTCAGGGCTTGAAGGTGCTTTTTTAGTCTGTTCAGGATGCTGGTTGAGAGAGTCCCCTGGGAGAGAGTTCTGAAGGGCAAAGGGGTCCAGGCAAGCTGGACATTCTTCGAGGAAGAAGTCTTAAAGGCACAGGAACAGGCTGTCCCCATGTGCCACAAGATGAACCGGCAGGCAAGATGACTGGCTGAACAGGGAGCTATTGCTGGGACTCAGGAAAAAAAGGAGGGTCTACCACCTGTGGACGAAAGGGCGGGTGACTCCAGAGGAGTACAGGGGTCTCGTTAGGTCCTGCAGAGAGAAAATTAGAAAGGCAAAAGCCCATCTAGAACTCAGGCCAGGGTTGTAAGGGACAACAAAAAATGTTTTTACAAACACATTAACAACAAAAAGAGGGCCAAGGAGAGTCTCCATCCCTTATAGGATGCGAGGGGGAGTATTACCAACAAGGCTGAGGTACTTAATGCCTTCTTCGCCTCAGTCTTTAATAGGCAGACTTGTTATTCCCAGGGTAGTCAGCCCCGTGCTGGAAGATAGAGGAGAGAAGAATAAACCCCCTATAATCCAGGAGGAAGCAGTTAATGACCTGCTATGCCACCTGGACCCTTACAAGTCTATGGGGCTGGATGGGATCCACCCAAAAGTGCTGAGGGAACTGGCAGAGGAGCTGGCCAAGACACTCCATCATCTATCAGCAGTCCTGGCTGACAGGGGAGGTCCCAGATGACTGGAGGATCACCAGTGTAACACCCATCTACAAGAAGGGCTGGAAGGAGGATATAGGGAGCTACGGGCCTGTCAGCCTGACCTCGGTGCCAGGGAAGATTATGGAGGGATTCATCCTGAGTGCGCTCACCAGGCATGTGAAGGACAACCAGGGGATCAGGCCCATCCAGCATGGGTTCATGAAAGGCAGGTCCTGCTTGACCAACCCGATCTCCTATAACCAGCTGACCCACCTAGTGGGTGAGAGAAAGGCTGTGGACGTCATCTACCTGGACTTTCGTAAGGCCTTTGACACTGTTCCCCACAGCATCCTCCTGGAGAAACTGGCTGCCCATGGTTTGCATGGGTGTACTCTTCACTGGATAAAGAACTGGCTGAATGGCCGAGCGTAGAGAGTGGTCGTGAATGGAGTGGGTCCCAACCACCCCATGCAACACTACAGGCTTGGGGAGGAGTGGCTGGAAAGCTGCCCAGAGGAAAAAAACCTAGCAGTGTTGTTCGACAGCCAGCTGAACATGAGCCAGCAGTGTGCCCAGGTGGCCAAGAAGGCCAACAGCATCCTGGCTTGTGTCAGGAATAGTGTGGCCAGCAGCAGTAGGGAGGTGATCGTGCCCCTGTACTCTGCACCAGTGAGGCTGCACCTCGAGTACTGTGTTCAGTTTTGGGCCCCTCACTACAAGAAGGACACTGAGGTGCTGGAGCATGTCCAGAGAAGTGCAGCGAGGCTGGTGAGGGGTCTGGAGAACAAGTCTTACGAAGGAACTGGGGCTGTTTAGTCTGGGGGAGAGGAGGCTGAGGGGAGACCTTATTGCTCTCTACGACTACCTGAAAGGAGGTTGTAGTGAGGCAGGTGTTGGTCTCTTCTCCCAAGTAAGTAGCTATAACACGAGAGGCAGTGGCCCCAAGTTGCATCAGGGGAGGTTTCGACTGGATATTAGGAAAAATTTCTTTACTGAAAGAGTGGTCAGGCATTGTCACAGGCTGCCCAGGGAAGTGGTGGAGTCCCCATCCCTGGAGGTGTTTAAAAAACCTGTAGATATGGCACTTCAGGATATGATTTGGTAGGCATGGTGGTGTTGGGTGGATGGTTGGACTTGATGATCTTCGAGGTCTTTTCCAACCTGTGATTCTGTGATTGATATTTAGTGTCTGCCTTGCTCCTTGGATACACTTTTGATATCAACATTCTGTTCTAAGGCACTTGGTCTTGGGTGTTGAGAAGGACTTCCAGCTTGCAGTGCCTTTGAATGCTAACAAATCTGTTCCATGCCACAGAGTTGGTGAGATTTGGAGCTTTTGGGCCATCTTGATATGAAGGAATTGGAATGTAGAAATAGACTCTAAATGCTTTTTTTAAAAAAATTTATTTATTTATCATAAGTTCTTCATCCATTACACTCTTGCAAAATTAATTTTGATAATATTATATTATGTGAGCCACCAGTGAATGTCCATTGCTTGGATCGGAGAGTGGATAACTGGACTCCACAATCACAGGAGCAGTCTCGAGGCAACTAGATATGCCACATTTCACACGCACTTTATGTCAAATACACTTTCAGGAAGAATTTCCATTAAACTTATCTCTTTTTCTGTCTTCATTTGATATAGGGTAGGAAGACAGTGAGAGAATGACAACAGATTTCCCCTCTTCCCAAAACCTACTCACAAGTGCAAAAGATCGTAATTCTGTTCAGGCTTATGTGACTACATTGAAGATGTTGTTGCATGGGAACAGATCTTTGTGGGAAATGACTGCTGCACAAACGTGTTGTTTTAGCAGTGCAGTGCTATTAAGCCATGTTTTTCTGAAAGTGCTCATGAAAATTCTTGACAAAATGTCTCTGTCAGGTTAGATCCTTAGATTGGAATATCAGGGAGCAGAGGCATTAACAAAAGCTGAGGTTTTGTCTTCATAGATTTTCTTCAGAAGTCAGAAAAGAAAGAGGTTTCCTGTCTTGAACAGGAACCCATCTGCAGGTGCTCTAAGCCATGCACTGGAGAAGCCTGTCTCTCTCCACTGACTGTAAATGAAGCGTAGGGAGACTTAGGCTGGAGGGGTCACATTTTCAACTGAAGAAGTGAGCTGCTTGTTAAATTCTAAGTGACTTCTAGGATCTAGGAAGGATCCTGCCTTCCCCGACAGGAAGAGGAAACAGTGAAGAACATCACTGTAGACTGAGACATCCCTGTAGACACTTTCACATCAAAAGAATGATATTCTGGAACTTCACCCCGTAAAACTGTGGTTGTGGACGTCAAGTTCAGTCTTGTAAAATATGTTTCATAAAGTAGAAACTAACAGAGAGCATGAATACAGCACTTTACAGCATGTCTGCTGAAGTCTTTAGTAGTCACCTTCTACTCATTTCTGCTTTTGTGCTTGCTTTCACATTTGTGCTCGTACCTTCTGGTGGCTGGACTGAACAGCTGAGCTGTGCTAATTTCAGCAGTGCTTAGGGAGCAGTGAGTGTACGTAAATGAGTGTCCAAGGTGAGAAGGGGATGTGTAGCATCAAAATCAAGCAGCAGTACCTCTGAAAAACTACATGTCAAACTATACATGAAGACATAAAGTATGCCCTAGTCATATGGTGATAGGACAACAGCTGTGTAGTCAAACGTGTTTTGAATTGAATTATTTCATTTGTCCAGTTTGGGTCATGTACTCAGTTGGCTGAACACACAGACCTGTTTCCCAGGAGGTTTAAAGCATTTATAGCAGCTGGAGTAACCTGTTTCAAGTGTACTTCAAATAGCAGAATTAATTAATAGAACCTATGTAGTGATGGTGGAAAGCATTTTCTTTCAAGATTTGTGGTATGGTCTAGGGGTGGACTCTTCTGTGAATCCCCCCAGTTTGCTGTATGTGGCTGCTTGTACTTTATAAAATCATAACAGAAGAAGCTTACATGAAGTTTTAAACTACAACAAAGGAGTGAAAAGTCACTATTTCGGATGGCCTGTCAAATTTGCGGGTTTCTGTTTCTTGGGAGAGGTGAATGGGAGAGCTAGGCTGTGATCATTGGACCTACTTGGTATAGGAAAAGAGAGAACAAACGGGAGAGTAAGAAATTGGGTGTAAAGTATGTAAGTTTCTGCTGAAACAATATTCCATGAAGTAAGTACGATGTGTTTGTTTTAACTTGGAGATATAAAATACTGCTGTTCATATTTAGCACTCACTGAGGAGAATTTTGTTTTAATATAGTTTGCTTAAATATATTCAGTATAAAAAGTGCAGCTATTGCTAGGACAGTCAAAAAAGTCAGGAGTTCTGTCTTAGCAGAAATAAATGCGAATGATTTCTTTGAACAGGTATGATGACGCTATCCAGTTGTACGATAGAATTTTACAAGAAGATTCAACTAACACAGTAAGTTTAAAAGATTTTTCTTAACTGCAGTGGTTTGTTGTTTGAAATTGTGATTGCATTTGGTGGGTTTCACTGTGGAAAGAAGTGTGTCTGTATTACTGTATTTGTTTCCTTTAGTTTCCTAGTGTAATAACCGATGTTGCCTTCATTAGAACAAATGAGATTCACGATGAGAAGGCATGATGTACTACCTGCTTAATGTGCTACCTACTTAAACACTGAATTTAGAAGACAGGATTATAACTAGCAATCTTTCCAGCAGTCTTAGCAGGGTTTAGATTGGGCCTTTCAGCTGTTCCATTTTCCCTGAATATTAAGTATTTGAAGGACCAACACAGTCTGCCATGTGTCTTCTGTCTTCCTAATGTTTAATCTTAAAGATGAAGTATGAATACACTCAGGTAGTGCTTGAATCGCAGTTATTTTGATTAATTGTCTGGGACACTTCACTAGCTTTTGAACCAAAATGCCATAAAGCTTGCCAAGCGTATTAAAACAAAATCTGAGACAGACTGTACTTTTAAGCATTTTTTGAGTACTCGTTGCGTAAGCCACCTTAAACTATTAGATGACAAAATGAAAGTCAAGGGAAACTTGTAGCAATATATTTTCATGCATTTTATTTTACAAGGATATAACTAGAATTATGAAGAAGCTATGGAGTTTCAAATTTTTGTGTCACATTTTGACGAAGTCAATTTATTATTATTAACCATTACCTGTTTGGGGATATGTTAGTGTGTGTTACTTGGTTTCAAGGAACTGGTTCTCTTTATTGGGTTAACTTCTATGTAAATGTCATACTTGGGCTATTGGAGTTGTTTTGGTGGTCTCATGTAAACCTTCCTTGGTGCATTTTGGACCTCTGCCTTTCTTCAGTCAGCTTGATGTGGTCTCCTGTTCAGGAGGGGAATGCCCACAGAAACACAGATAACTGAGGTTGACTAGGGTATGACAGAGCTGGATACAGATGAAGTGCCATCACTTAAGCTAAGTGAACCATTAAAAAAAACCCACAAAACAAATTAGAAAAACCCAACAAACTACCAAAAACCACCCAAAACCACCAAACCAGAAAATTATTTGCAAGGCAACGCATCTGAAAACATTAATACAAGTTAAGCACTCGGATGACAGTGGTAGATTAAAGTCTGTGTCTTTTAGCAGTGATAAAACTTATGTTTTTTGGGGGGGGGGGGGAAAAACAACTACTTCAATTCTTCACTCTCATTTGTTCGCTCTCCCTAGAGCAGTATGATTTGAAATATGTTCTGCGAGACAAATGCAGGTGATCTGCAGTTGTCCTTTGAAAGTCTCTAGTGGTTTTGAGTAGAAGTTTGAGCACAAGGTGCGTAGCTGTCTGCAGTAAATCTTGGTGGGTTTTATCAGTGTATGACCCAAAGAGTTTCAGAGACATGAAGTCTTCCGAGTCATGTTAGAACAAGATGGAACCCAGGTGCAGCGAAGCCACAAGAATAGGTCACCTAGGTGCACGTTTTATGACCTTTTGCTGAAGCCAGTGGAAAATGAAGCACCATATTACAATGACTTCTGTGGACCACAGATCTTTCCAGTGTGTGTTTGTGGCAGTTTTACTCTTCAGCTGTCTCAACATTGCTAACGTCATCTGAATGGTTTGTTGGATGGTTTTATAAAACAAAATGATATATTCAAATAAGTAATATGCGTGAGTATTACCTCGTTTGGATTTCCTCCTTAACAAAATCATAAAGATAATGAAATGGTAATATTTAGAAGCATAAGATGTAAATATTAGAACAGCTGCATGATCTATTTGATTTCTTAAGATCTGAGAATAGAAGTGGAGAATGTTAAATGCAAAGCAAAGGTTCCTTGCTGTATAACTATAGAATAGGTTGGCAAAGCGTTGCGTGTGAAGTGAAAGTTAAATAGAAAATTTTGATAAATTGTCATGTGCAGATTTCTTTGTGTCTTTTACCTGTTAATTATTTCCGTGCACACATGTGGCTGCTGTAGGAAAATAAATATTTCAAGATTTTAAAAAAGAAACTCTTGCTGAGTTTGTCTTGGCACTCACCTTACTTTATAGCAATTTCTTTTGGTCTGCTGACACATGGAGTTGCTTATATACATTAAAGATTTTGGCAAGTGCTGTAAGTGAAACAGACATTTGTTCACACGAATCATGTAAAAATCATACTTTGCATCAACTGACAGTTTCAAATTGAAGCATGGAAAAAGCTTTCTCAAAAAAATATTTATTTTAGACACCTAGTGGACTTTTCCATTATGAAAAGTGAACTTTGAACTCAAATTACGTAATGGACTTTCACTTTCAGATGAGGTTTTGTTGCGTGCAAGACACTAAAGTTAAGATAACAGTAATTATTTCATTTCTTAGGACAGAATTCAAAGCAGTCTTTGGTTTTAAAAGATGACCATCTCCCAATGTTTTATCTCACTCTGAGCATGCTTCCTGAAAAACATGGCTCAACAATGGAGAAATGTTAATGTTGTCACTTCAGAGATCGTGTTTGGTTTTTCAGAGCATGCAGATGTCGATGAAGAATCTGTCCCTTCTCTGAAGAGTTTAACATTAGTGAATGAGAAGTGAGTCCTATGAAAAGCACAACCTGTGTGTATTTTAATAGGATAAGAATGGGAACATTTTCCATTCTCGTCGATTTTGGCTGAAATGAGGGCTTATTAGAGCTGTAGTTGGCGGAGTACTCTATTATTAAGGCCGCATAACATTTTCATTTGTAGCATCTTTTTATTAATTGAAATTTAATGTAGTATCCAGTTGAAAATCTTTATACTGTTGCTGAACGGTGACTGAGTTGTTTATAGATCTTCAGATAAAATGGTTAGTCTGTTTCTTGGAAGAAAATAAGAGGGGCATTGGTGTTTTTAGCAGAGTTGGTAGAAAGGACTTTTTTGTTTGGTGTTGCTGTTAATGTATTTAATTGAGAAATCCTCATCCTGCTCTGCTTTGGAGGAAAGCCTTGGGTACCAACAGGATAAGAGCTCTTGATAAAATGCAGCTTTTATTTTACTATGAGAAAAACACCTAAACTGGCCAAGTTACAGTCATTTGAAAATCTTCACTTCATGTTCTCAGTAGAGACTTCTGGAATTTTTATTAAATACATCTTCTTAAAATCCCAGTTGCATAGAGCATGGTCTATGCCAGGCTACAGAGACTAAGCAGGACTTCCTTCTAGTTGCTCCTTATGGCCGTAGGACTATGGGGAAGGGGCAGAAAGTAGGGAGACTCCTTTCTTTTCTGAGTTGCACCCAAGCGATGAGCTGGAGAAGGAAAAAACCATCCAGAAGGAACTGAGTAGAAGGAGAAGGAAGCAGAACTGTGAGGACCAAAAGAGAGAGGAACAAGTAATGGAAAGATAGGTGGTTAGTTAACAGGAGAGGTCAGGTCAGATGTAGGGTAACAGATGGCTTGAAGGGTGGGTAGGAGGTCACACCAGATGGATTTGTATTAATATTTAAGTTTTGGGTGCTTTGGGTTTTTTTTGCCTTCCCTAAAAAAAAATAATTTAAAAAAAAAATCACATTTTGCCTTGAGGCATTTTTTTTTCTGCTGTCAGCTCTGAGAGCTACTGGTGAAATGTCTCTTATTCCCGTGGTACCTGGTGTGTATTAGTTCTGTCAGTAACTGTTTTAGCTCTAATACTGAAGGCGTATACTATTTGAATGCTGCAGGTGACCAGACTTGTGGTTCTGCAAGAAGGAATTCCTGTTCTTTCATCACTAAAGAAAACTGAGGTACATTTCATAGCTGGAGATAAGGCTGAATGCTCAAGCATGCTACTGAAAAAATGCCAATATCCGCCTGCCCTTAAAATGACTGGTAGTCTTTTGAAGTAAATAGTTATTGTTTAGTGGTATCGTTTGTAAATTCAGATAATACAATGCCTAAACTTTGATATAATATTGCAATATGAAATGTAATGCCGCGTTCAAACTCTAGGCATTTTTTAATCCCAAGTTGATCTTCACAGTGTTCTCAGTATCTTTATTAGTGGCCTGGATATTACATTAGGGTTTATGTTTTGGGTGGATTGCTTGTGTAAAATTCAGTAGGAAACTTTTGTGGAATTGATATATCCATATTTTCTGTAAAATAAGCAAGTCCGCATTTCTGGGAATGGGGCTCTTACATAAGAACCTTACAAATGGAAGCAGTATTTGAATGTCAGTTTTTTCTGTCATTTGGCCCCAGCAGCCATGTGAGATGGAACAGTACTGACATTTTACATACAGAGAGCAGATGAAAGCCCAGCTCTGCGAAATTATTTACGACTCAGTTCCTAAGCAGGCAGTTAGTTCTCTGATTTTACTATTGATTTCAATTCTATAACGAATATTAAATGCGGAATTTTTTACTGTATGTACATGTCTGTATGAGATTAAGTTGAATGCCTTTTTGCATTATTTTACCATGGAAAAGATTCTGCTTTTGGGGAGCAAATTGGCTGTAGACCCATCTATTTAATTAGATAACTAAATATTTTTGTCCATCGGGCCCTTCTTGAGGTGGCCTGTCCAGGAGCGCAACGAAGATTGATGAGGAGAATGGAAATTGAGTTCATGTGTTGAAGACTTAGGCTGGTGTCTGACCTGCTCCACTGGCATCCTGGTGCATCTGCAGTTTCTCCTGATTCTTCAGTTCAGTCATGAAGAAGATTGCAGAGCACTTGGTCAGCACCAGGGGAAAGTGAGATAAGACACAAAGTTCTGCCTTAATTCTAATAGAAAATCCGATGTCTTTATTGGGATAATTCTTCTGCTGTTTTTCTTGCCACTTTTTCAAACAAGCTTTTAATGCAACAGGATGCTGTATATGCTTGCTTAGCTTAGGGCATGTGAATAATCTCATTGACTTCATGGGTCTAGTAATATAGTTGTGTGAACGAAGAATTAAAAATAGAATTTTCAGAACAAGATGTTATTGTAGATGAAGCTCTTTCAGGGCTCATAAAATCAATCACTAACAGCTC